TTGTTATGGTTGATTTTAACATAAAAATACGAAGAGTGTAACAAGTAACATTTAATCCTGTTAAATCCTAACATTTTACCATGCTCCAGATTTTTTTTTTTTTAAGTTTATTTATTTTGAGACAGAGAGTGGGGAGGGTCAGAGAGAGAGAAAGAGATAGAATCCCAAGCAGGCTTCTCACAGCATGGAGCCTGATACAGGCCTCTGTCTCACGAACCATAAGATCATGATGAAATCAAGAGTTGGATGCTCAACCAGCTGACCCACCCAGGCACCTCCAAGCTCCAGATTTTTATTTCAGAAATAAAATATTACAGATGAAGTTGAAGCTCCCTTGCAAATCTTTTACTGAGAGCATTCCTCTTCTGTTTTCCCCAGAGGCAACAATTATTTGTTGTGCTTCTTTACATGCATGTCTAATTTTATACTTGAAAGATAGCCTTGTTTCATACTTATAAACTTAATATAAAACTCTATGTAAGTTGCATTGTATGTATCTTTCAGCAATTTGCTTTTTTCACTCAATGTTGTTTTTGAAATTTATACATGAATTTCTAGTTCATTTACTTTAACTGCTGAATAATATTCTATGAAATACATGTTCATCCTTTCTTTTTTTTAATTTTTTTTTTAATGTTTTTATTTTTGAGACAGAGACAGAGCATGAGCGGGGAAGGGGCAGAGAGAGAGGGAGACACAGAATCTGAAGCAGGCTCCAGGCTCTGAGCTGTCAGCACAGAGCCTGATGCGGGGCTCGAACTCACAGACTGTGAGATCATGACCTGAGCTGAAGTCGGACACTTAACCAACTGAGCTACCCAGGCACCCCATCCCTTTTCTATTTAAAGGGACATTTTATACTCTCTGATTTTGCACTTTTATAATACACCAATGAACATTTATATATGTGGTATGTACACATTCAACAAATATTCTTTGAACAAGTACTATATACTTGACATTGTTCTAGCTGCTGGAGATCCAATGAGAGAATAAAATAAGGCCCTAACTCCAATGAAAACTTAGCATTCTAATGTGGAAATCCAAGAAAGATACTAGAAGAGGTTGTTCACCAGTTCTTTATGTAGATAGATGATAATACAGAAAAGAAAGTGCTTAGTGCTATGAAATTTCCTCTGAAGTCACCTTTGTCTACCATGTGTTTCTCATTTTCATTATTTTCTAGCTGTTTATAGTTGTAGTTTGTATATCGTCCTGAAACCAGGAATTAATTTTAAGAGGTTAGGCTTCTTTTTTTTTTTTTTTTTAATTTTTTTTTTTTCAATGTTTTTTATTTAGTTTTGGGACAGAGAGAGACAGAGCATGAACGGGGGAGGGGCCGAGAGAGAGAGAGACACAGAATCTGAAACAGGCTCCAGGCTCTGAGCCATCAGCCCAGAGCCCGACGCGGAGCTCGAACCCACGGACCGCGAGATCGTGACCTGGCTGAAGTCGGACGCTTAACCGACTGCGCCACCCAGGCGCCCCTAGGCTTCTTTTTTAATATTCAAATGTTTTGGATTTTACTCTGTGTGTGTGTGCGTGCGTGTGTAGTCTGTAAAGTCGGTAACAAAAAACCTAGACCTGAAAAAGGAAAATACAGTAACTAAAACAGCTATCTATTTTGAGTAGCTGCTATGTCATTTAGTGTTTTCTCAGTGCTTTACACGTTATTTCATTTAGATCTCTCAACAACCTGTTATTTTACAGAGAAAACGACAAGAGGTTATGGATCACACATTGGTAAATGCTGAGTCCCAGATTAGTGCCCAGGCAGTGTGACTCCACAGCCCATGTTCTACTACTTCTTACATAAACTGTTATCAGAAATATTACTAAATAAAGGATTACCAGAAATGCATTAAATAGAAGATCACAGAAATAGTATACTTTTTAAAAATTTTTTTAACATTTATTCATTTTTTTAATATATTCATCATAACGTTCATTTTTGAGAGACAGAGTGTGAGCAGGGGAGGGGCAGAAAAAGAGGGAGACAGAATCCAAAGCAGGCTCCAGGCTCCAAACTGTCAGCACACAAAGAATCCCAAGCAAGCTCTGTGCTGTCAATGTAGAACCCATTGTGGGGCTCAATCTCACCAGCCTCGAGATCATAATCTGAGCCAAAGTGAGATGCTTAGCTAAGCTACCCAGGCGCCCCCACAATTGTTTTAAACCAAGGTATAAAAATTTAAGAAAATTATGAAAGCTATAACCATTAGAAAAGCTCAGATAAGTGAATAAAAGATTTGAAAAGATCAGTAATTCAGGAAAGCATTAGAAATTAAAAGGCAGTGGGGCGCCTGGGTGGCTCAGTCAGTTGAGCATCCGACATCAGCTCAGGTCATGATCTCGCAGTTTGTGAGTATGAGCCCTGTGTCGGGCTCTGCTGACAGCTCGGAGCCTGGAGCCTGCTTTGAATTCTGTGTCTCCCTCTCTCTCTGACCCTCCTCCACTCACACCCTTTCTCTCCTTCAAAAATAAACATTAAGAAAAAAAATGAAAAGGCACTTCAAAAGTGAAAACTAAACTAGAAGGAAGTCCAAAGTGAATACGACACAATTAATACCTAAGAAAAAGTTTGGAGGAGCACCTGGGTGGCTCAGTTAAGCATCTGACTTGGTTTTGGCTCAGGGCATGAGCTCACGAATTGTGAGTTCAAGTCCCACATTGGTCTCCATTTTGACAGTGTGGAGCCTGCTTGGAATTCTCCCTTGCTCTCTCTGTCTCTCAAGTTAAGTAATTAATTAATAGGATGGAAAGGAAGAAAATGTTTACAATCAAGACGAGACTTTGAGGGGTGCCTGGGTGGTGAGCATCAGTCTGACTTTGTCTCAGGTCATGATCTCACGGTTCATGAGTTCAAGCCCCACATTGGGCTCTGTGCTGTTAGCACAGAGTCTGCTTTTAGAGCCTAAGTTCCCCTCTTTCTCTGCCACTGACTCACACACTCTCCCGCTCTCAAAAATAAACAGGGGCATCTGGGTGGCTCAGTTAAGCATCTGACTTCAGCTCAGGTCATGATCTCGTGGTTCGTGGGTTCGAGCCCCACATCGGGTTCTGTGCTGACAGCTCAGAGCCTGGAGCCTGCTTTGGATTGTGTCTCCCTCTCTCTGCCCCTCCCCTGCTCACACTGTGTCTCTGTCTCTCTCAAAAAATGAATAAACATAAAAAATAAAAATAAACATTTAAAAAACATTAGAAGACAAAAGACTTTGAAAAGATTCAAGAGAAACTGTTATCAAATATAGAAGACTTGATGTCCATATAAAAGGAATCTTCAAAGAAGAAAATAATGTTTATTTTTGAGAGACAGAGCCCAAGCAGAGGAGAGGCAGAAAGAGAGGAAGACACAGAATCTGAAGCCGACTCTGAGCTGTCAGCACAGAACCCAGCATGGGGCTTGAACCCACAAACCTTAAGATCATGATGAGCTGAAATCAAGAGTCGGGACATCTAACCAACTGAGCCATCCAGGTGCCCCAAAGAAGAAATCTTCAGAACTATCCAGTAATCCAAAGCAATAGAAAAGAACAAACACTAAAAACTATATGCCAGTTATTAAGATTTTGTCTCTGCTCCACACCCAGCATTCTGTCTTTTATGATGGTAAAGCTTTAAGTCCAAACCACGGCAGTTCTGCTCTTCTAGCTGGGTCTTGGTTAACCTCAGCCAATAGGGGGCACTAGAGG